TATTCAGTTTTCATTTTATTTTATTTTTTATTTTTGTAATTTTGTTGTGTGTTTGTTTATTCTTCATTTATTCAAGTAAGTGTTATTTTAGTATTTCAACTTCAGTTAGCTACCAGGGCAATATTTCTACATATAATTTAGTTTAGGTTTTTCATCTAATATTAAAATTTTATTTTATTTAAATATTTGATTTGATTTGATTTCGGCTCTATTTCAAATAACAAAAAATGTCTTTAACAGTTTTAGTTTAAAATAATAACCCAGGAATAAACACCCATTTGCATGTTTGTATAATATTTTGTCAATTCATTCATTCGTGTTACTGTATGTTACAGTATTTTCGGCTTTTATTGAACAGAACAGTATAGACAAGAGAGGAAACAATACTGAGGAGAGAGAGCGGAAGAGGATCAGCAGAGGACCTGGAGCTGGGACTTGACCTCGGGTCGCGAGGTGCAGCCGTGCATGTCATTGCTTCAGGCCATGCATTAGCATAGTTATGCAAAATTCTTTTGCATAATTATGCCAATAATCATACTAGAAAGGGGAAGAGAAAGAGAGAAAGACAAAGGCTGCGATGTGGTTTGGAGGTATCTTTTTTCCGTTTGAAACGTGGCTCCTCCAGCCACAGTCAAACTTCATTGAGAGGAAGTGTGTCTCTGCAGAAACAATGCTAGCTTCTGTTTGCAGCTGTCAGAACAGAAGCAACCACTCCACACCTCTCAGCAAATGAAAGAATGGCACTTCCTGCACAAGAACAAAAAAGCCACACTATATACAGACTAGTGTAAAAATGAGACTCATTTCCATATTTACATCCGGTTGTCACTGAGCAACAAGTGGTAAGATTCATATGCAAGATTCTCTCTGTATTGCTCTACATTTGGCAATGCACCAAATTCACAGCAACTGTTTTGTGGTTGTAACCCCCCAATTCCACTTACTTTCCACATGACCTCATTTGCATAACACACTCTAATACTTTATCTCTTTCTCCCTCCAGGTGTGTGTTGTGTTCAGGAAGTTGTAAAATCGTAAAAAGGTACATTTGACGCAAACAGTGCATTTCATGTAGACATAAATAGAGTGGGCTCTAAAAGTCTGAGAGCTCTTTCAGTGCAAGATGCACAGCCCCGTTACAGCATAAACCGAGGATTTGGCATCCAATCAAGTTTACTTGTTTACTACAAGTCACTATCCACCGGCTACTGGTCAAGCATAAGGTTACCATCAGCAAGAGAAACGTCTCAGGTTACTTATGTAACCATGGTTCCCTGAGTAGGGAACGAGACACTGCGTCCTCTAGGGGTCGCTATGGGGAATGCCTCATCGTGACCCGTGTCTGAAGCATACATTGAAAAAACACCAACAACACGTTGGCCGGCGACAGCCCATGACGTCACTACCGGTGTGACTATAGTATAAATAGGCACCGGGAGAACATGTCATTCACTTCTTCGTCTGAAGCTTGCATTCGAAGCATGGCAGGAAGCCTAGAGGACGCAGTGTCTCGTTCCCTACTCAGGGAACCATGGTTACATAAGTAACCTGAGAC